TTTGATTTTTCTGATAGAACGAAATTGTCATTTACCGACAGCAGAAAAGGAATCCCAAGTAGCTGTGTGACAATCCGATGCATCACCATTGATGAGACTATTCGCATACCAACTCAGCACGTCGGTCGTCTGTCCGGGTGGGAAGTCTTCAGGCAAGTTTGATGCGTTCAGCTTTATGGAAAATACCTGGTCAGTCGGCGCGATGAAATTGCAGGCAACAAACAGTCCACTCTCCCAGTGTTGAGGGGAACGGGACATGAGCTGCAGATATTGAGAAAGCAGTTTTACCAAAATGATTCACTGCTCATCATAGTCTCTGAAGGCATTTCAACTTTCGAAGAACAACGAAGGGACCTGAGAACAAAATAGGTTCTGTGTACCATCAACTTTGCCTTTGTGGCTCCTTCTTACTTTTCTCAAAGCGATTTGATGACGGGCTTTGGGACAAAAGGACTATGTCATTGTCCTTAGAAAAGTATTTACACAAAAGCATGCTCGCAAAAGCATTACGTCCGAAAGCGTCATATCATCCATCAATATAGGACTGTTAACTTTGTATATCCAGCATCAAGATGAAATTTCTAAACCAAAACGAGCCTACCTCGTGAAAATATCTTGGGCAATGTGCGCTCCAATGCGTTATTGTTGAATGCACCAGTTGGTATGTCAGTGAAGAAGATTACCTTTCTTTTGATTACGGCGATGGATTGTTTTGACGGCGAGTTCGTGAGTGATTTTTTTTATCCCAGAACTATATTCCACAGGGTTACAGAGAATTGTGGAGATATCGTCCTGTAAGTGAAGCCAATCTATGTTGAACAGCCGAGAAGCACTGTACAGCTGTTTCATCCTTATTGGGAATCATCAGCAGTGCGCATCTAACGAAACTCCGCAGAGTCTCGAACCCGCGACCTCCTGGCTCGCACTTTGAACCCTCAACCGTTCGGCCACGAGAGGCTGATCAGCATTGTGATTAACTCGCCCTTAGACAGGATATAGCGCTGCTCATCCTTCAATCACGGGATCCACATCACGTGGTCACACGTGTTGACTGGTTCCTCTGCGGAGTTTCGTGAGATGCGCGCTGCTGATTATTCCCAATAAGGATGAAACAGCTGCTCAGTGCCTATCGGCTTTTCAGCATAGATTAGCTTCATTTACAGGACGAAATCTCCACAAAAGCCCAAATTTCCTCACACTACCAACATTACAGAGAATTATTCTTTGTCTATCTCGGAATTACCAGGTCTGTTTTTTATGAGGTTATCGAGAGACCCAACAACGAAGTTCACGAAGGACTCATCGTCGACTAGGTCATCTCTTTTAATCTTGCTCCCCCATATCTTTTGGGTTTTAATCTAATGTGGGAGACCAACCATGGAAGAAACAACAAGCACACATTGTGTCATAGGCGAAATTTAGTAACCATAGTGATCTGAACATTCGGTTCCGCGTTGCCTTACCCCCGTAAGAAAGCACGAGGGCTGCGATCCTGTCCGGCTGTTCAAGCCCAGACAGGAGCAGTCAAGATGTAGGAGGTCGGGTTCAAATCACATACCTTCCTCTCAGTAAACTCTCGCCTTTGCCACTACGTTGAGAAGGTACAGTGCCGCCAAAAACCAAAATCTACTGGCAGAGTTTTCAGCGCAGCATTTGCTGAGACGCCACCGAATAGAACAAAGTAGAGATCATGTGCCCTAATGAAGTCTACACGCAAATGCCGCTTGGCAATGAAAGTTGAGGCTATGCGGCAGCAACGGGCTGCCTTTTCTAAGTATTACCACGAACACTTTGGCTACACGAAGCTTACTCCTAAACTTCTCGATTTCTTGGTAAACCAAATGAGACAGCCAAGCTATTTCCATGGTCCTACGTGAACGTTGTCCCGAAATTCCACAGGTCCTGGGTTGCCATGTGTTGAAAAATACTGGTGAAGATTTTGTTGAAAAGCACCCTAAGGAGCTCAATTCTAGTCGTGTTCCTCTTTCTGTGTATCTGGGTGTGAAAAATTTACAAGCAATAGTATCATTTACGGTATTCATTTACTATGAGGTTTTTCATAAGACACGTTTATGTCAAAGCAACTCACACTTTCACAGCTTTTTTCTTGTTGGATGTGGTGTTCGTCTGGTAGTATGTCAACTGCCAAGGCTGAAAAATGTACCAGGGCAAGTGTTCAGTCAGAATAGTGTGATCAAGTTTAATTAGATCGGCAAAACAAAGTGGAATGTCGGCCACATGGAATACAGCCACTCGAAATTACGCACAGGAAGCCCACTGTGGCGAACGGTGGATCTGATATACTGTCCGCAAATCGTTTCATGACGGTTAAACAAATGATTTGGCAAAGGCTTGGATGGTAGGTTTTCTTATGTTGACGCTCCACATCCCATTATCGAAATTACGCACAGGAAGCCCACTGTGGCGAACGGTGGATCTGATATACTGTCCGCAAATCGTTTCATGACGGTTAAACAAATGATTTGGCAAAGGCTTGGATGGTAGGTTTTCTTATGTTGACGCTCCACCATCCCATTATTCTCTTGCTCACAGAGCTGGATCGATCACCATGTTACCGATTAGAGTTCCACTTCGACAGGTTTAGGAAATTTAAGCCATCTTCTTCTAGGGCACGAGGTCTCCGCGTATGACGCGGTTCAGTTACAAGAAGCCTGACATTTTCTAAACATTGTCTGTTTATTACGGACAGGAAATATGCAACTGACAAAATACGTTCACTGATGCATAAAAAAAATGAACAGTTCGTCTTGAATACGTGGAAGTATTCTTCACCCTGAGGATTTACTCTTCTTGAATCTCAGCATAATATACGAACCTTTCGCTTGAAACTTATTTTGGGAAGAAATCACTTTTCCAGGCAGTGACTTGCGGTTTGTGAGCACAGCTCATTGACTGATTTTGCCACAAATCCTGGACCACTAAAGTGATCCTCTGCGTGACATCCAATTTTCTAGAGCAACTATTTTTGACTGGTATCACTGGCAGTTTCCCCATTGTACTGCCTACTCTGGTAGGGGCCCGCGAGCCGACGGGAATATGGGCTTAAACTGCAGGAATTTTCCTCTCTCTACGGGGTCCTTTCCTCTGTATTATGAGTTATGCCACGCGTGATTAGCCGGTGCGCATTTGGATGACTAGACTTGGACATTATCTTCCTGCAAAAAATGTCAAATAGGATTTCGGAGTAGCTAATTCCCACAAAAGACTTCCACCATTCCGTTCAAAACATCAAGCCTACAAAAATTTGCCTTCGCTAGCTATCCACTGTAGTTCATGTGGCTTGATTATTTTTTGGTTCTCAACGCCAATAGCTTCAATTTCGACAACTTTGGTGTCCTTCTGTCTATTTGTTGCTTGCAAACATGTAGGCTGACCTAGAATTCTGTAAACTTCGCTCTGACTGAAGTGAAATGCACTTGTTTTTCATCTCCGTCACCAATGCTTTTGTATGTACGGAACTAAGTTTTTATCATTTGCCCTTCCAATATCAGTCTTGGACGATACAGGGAACATTGCCCGCGACGTCCACATCAATTTCAGACAACGTTTTTTCAGCAGGGTTGCAAAAATGTGGGGAAAACCCGTTGCGGTGAGTGCGAAGCGCACATCCTTAGACCCATTTACAGCAAAACAAAGCCTTCTTGCTTCAAGCCTGGCAGTCTCTCGAACAGAAAAATTCCCCAAGAAAATGATCTTGTATTATGGCAAGATAATTTACGCAGTGCTGGATGGGTATCAATCGGAAGATGCACTTTCAGGAAGGCCGACAAATTCGCTACTGGCAAAATGGCAGTTACAACGCATCCGCTAACTCCCAAATAGAACAGGATGTTCAACTTCTGTGCAGGCTAGAAATAGAATATGTCATCGATTTTGTAGCCACAACAATCACGACTTCCACATTGGAAGAAACAACAAAAATATTCGCAACCAAGCCAACAGAAATTAGAACAATCAGAAAATGGGTCATTCAAATTTAGGGTCGCTTTTCATACACCTGAGTTCTAAAAGTAACCCCGGCTGAATATTCGACGTATCTGTCGGAACTGTTCAAATGCCCCCAAGCTTGGAACAGCAAGCTCTCGGTCCACGGCTGTTCCCAAATGGAGCCTTTTGAAAAGGTTTTTGCAGTGCTATGGTAGAGACTAGGATGACTAGCGCCACAGGCGGCAAGCACTGCTGTCGGAAATAAGTAATCGTTCTTGATAAAGAGAGGCAAACAAACTAAATGCTTTTAAAATCCAAAATCCGTCCACAGCAGTGTGCACTACCAAGCCAACCGAAATCCACGGACGAGTCAGGGATTTTAGGCTGTCTTTTTTTACTCGGTACTGTCCATAATTATGCAGAGCTCTGGTCCGCTCAGTCAAGTTCATTTGAAATACGTTCATGTCCCTTTTTTAGGCCCAACGTTTAACCCATAAAACGTGTCTCCAAGAAGGCTTTTCTGGAAGCATGTTAGAGACGTATTTTGGAATTTCTGACAATGCAGTAAGCGCACTGCAACGATTTTAATAATAAGGGAGACCTCGGTTTTCTTTCACTAAATGTGAAGTAGTCACTCTGGTTGGCTTGGTGTGCACACACGTTTTTTCCTTTATTTACGCTTGGTTTCCTCCCACCGTTTTCGACGGAATACTCCGTTCATTCTCATCGTCGATACTTACTTGTGTTACCAAATTTTGTCCGAAATCTCCCGACCGTGCAGACGGCGAGTTTATCCTCGCACGATTTACTGTTGTCTACAGCAAATCTGCAGAAAACTTTAGCCTTTCCACGGAAGCAACTGTCTTAGTCTCATATTCACCCATTTGCTTCAATTGTCAGTTACTCTCCTAGACACCACAAGTTCATTTAACCACATAGATGCCTTTGAGGGACGTGTACCCAGTTGTATCCTCCCGCTCTTAACTGTTCATTTTCTCTTCTCTACATTGCGTGGGAATCTAGCATCATCTTCACTTTCAACATTCGAAACCTAGGTCAGTTCACGACAGGCCCGTAAATGTCCGTAAATATGGCACAAGGCACATTCGGAATTCATCAACTCAGCTGCATATTTGTCTATGTCCTTCCATATTATGCCTGATGCTCCTGGGAAAGACACCGGCTATTTTAGATAGGATATTATGAATAGATCCCCGATTATCTGGAGCATATTTGACATTCTTGAATAGTTTTCCCCGTGGTGAAAACTGTGCATAACAGTGCGGCCAAGTTTAACTCAGTTGAGACGGGATTCGTCTGTCAATAGAATGGACTAAAACCCCAGTCACCTTCGAGTCTTCTATGGGGAAGTGCGGAAATGCGATTTTTCGCACATTATCGTTTCCCTCTCGGCAGAAGTTAGTTTGCCTTATTCTTGCTGAATAGTCGCCAGTGTAACGTTGCATGTTGGCCCAATTAATTGCCGTGGTGAAAACTGTGCATAACAGTGCGGCCAAGTTTAACTCAGTTGAGACGGGATTCGTCTGTCAATAGAATGGACTAAAACCCCAGTCACCTTCGAGTCTTCTATGGGGAAGTGCGGAAATGCGATTTTTCGCACATTATCGTTTCCCTCTCGGCAGAAGTTAGTTTGCCTTATTCTTGCTGAATAGTCGCCAGTGTAACGTTGCATGTTGGCCGTCGCAATTAATTGTTACCAAACCCTTGACAAAGTAATAGGTGTGAACTGATTTCGGTGGCAGTCTGAAGCACTGTATAAATTCATAATCGGTACGCGGTGAGTGAAACCTGCCCGATTGATGATCTGGTCAGCAGCCTAGACCAAACCTATAAAACGCTCTGTCTTGTTCAGAGCTCTTCGATTCAGCGCCCTCACACACATCTCTTATGAGGCATTAACACTCAGTCGTTACAAGAATCATACATGATATATGTGGTTTCCATTAAAAAAAGCACTTTTGTTCAATCAGCAGTGTCAGTCACACACATCTCTTATGAGGCATTAACACTCAGTCGTTACAAGAATCATACATGATATATGTGGTTTCCATTAAAAAAAAGCACCTTTGTTCAATCAGTCAGTGTCAGTCTATTCAGGAAATCTTTTCACCTGGATCTTTGGTTTTTCAGCTCTCATGTTTCCTGTGACAACTTCAACAATAACAAGAAACGTGAAATTCGACGTACGGAATAGCTTGTGAGTAGGTGCCCAGTATCCATTGAACAGACAGTGTTCTGCGCCTTGACTCATTTCATTGAGGAACAGCAAATCCAAGTCAACATAAAGTGTATCCTCCATATAAGTCCCAAGGTCGAATGTCGAGAGTCCATATTTTACCAACTTTTCACCACTAGCAGTTTCATCGCTTGTATCAATAAGCCAGCAGACATCAACACTGAGTTGTCCGTCACCGAATACCTTCCCCGATATCTGTACAAACAGTTCGCAATGAAAAAACAAACGATAGTAGGATAAAATTCGGTGTGAATCAGTAAAGAGATGGTATGTTGGACAAGTTTAACCCTAAAATCAGACTAAATACACTACTGATAAGATTACTGCAAATTCTTCGACAGCCCATGACCAATTCCGCCCTTTTTATGGCTCATCAGGTAAGCGCCGAGTTTCCGTCAGCCTTATGTTCCAAATTACATGATATTAGCGAAATGCACTCATCTGTAAACAAATTTGTTTTGAAAATGCAGGCTGTTTAAAATTTCTGCTCCCTCTGTGTGGAATATATGACTTCATCCTTCTGATCCGCCCGCACTACTACGTTTTTATTTCATCCTTCTAGTGTTCTGATGAACTTTACGCTTTTTCCGAATAGCACAGTTAGGTACAATTTGACTAACGAGTACATATATTGTATTATCTCCACGAGTCTGCGCCGGACAGTCACAGAAGAACCCTGGTGTCATCCTCATGTGTCAAGCCCGCCAACGGTTTTGTTGCTCAAATCTACCACACAGAGATCAATCACAAGCAAATATCCCGCTCTTCAACGAATCATAAAAAACATAAGATATTGCAGTGTAACAATTACTAAGAAAACGATCAGCATATTTGAGAATTGCGAGGGAACCGAATAAACCGTGTGGTCGTTTGACGGTTCATTTCCGACTGCAACTGGGTTCATTTTTGGTTCCACCTTGTCAAAATCATTTCTTTAATGATTATTATATTTTCTTTTGCGTAACGCGTCCTTTGGTATCATGGAGGGCTTTCAGCACATTTCCCACCATGTGTTGACTGGCCCTGTGCATTCCTGGGCGTTGGTAAAAGATTCAAAAACAGGTGAGATTCAAACACTGACCGTAGTGATATTCACTTCTGGTTACCACCTTGAACAACTTCCAATTAGTGTCCCACTGGGGTTCCTCGTAACGTGATACCATAAAATGAACACTCAGTGACGGTTTCGATCGACGGGCGCGTTGAACTAGATCCAACTTATGCAATGAAATTCGCAACTGATAAATACTTTGACCGGGCTGTCTGACAAGCGAATCAAGAAACAAGAGGCTACTTGGAACCTCATCAACAAAAACTGCAGTATGAAACCAGCAAAAACTAAGGAGAGAGGTTGCTGTAGCACCGACTAGGAAATAAGAGCAGGAGATGCAACGCTCAAAGGTCACGTGACTGCTGACCAATCAGGACACAGGAAAACAGATGCTGCAACAGAAACTCCCGACCAAACCATCAGCCGTCATCGAAGGCTAGCGGCAAGCACACTAACACATACGCACCATCACTCAGTGCACAACGACTGACCGATCGCGATGATCTCCTCCGCTCCCTAATGCCTCACTGAAAGTGCCACCTCAATTGGTAGCGAAATGTTTTGCAATCTTTTGAGTTGCACAAAAGCGATGAGGAATTCATCAAATAAGTATGTAAATGGAAGACGGATATCAGAGAGATCTTAATTGTGAACTATGATAACGGACAGTGTGAACCTGAATCACTCGCTTTTTAAGCAATTTATCGAGGACATCGATTCTCCAGACTTTTCCACGCTTGCCGAAATTCCAACTTGTTGCAGAACTTGAAGCATGACACCCTGCGGTGAATACTTTTTGTAGCGATATTGTTCCAGTGGAACGAGAAACACATGCAGAGAATTTATTTATCATCAAACACCGATTAGGCAGTTGCAGGTTATTGGACAGGAAAGTAAACTTATCATATGTGCACTGTCTTTGAAAACTGAACGTTTTCATGCGTCTTCTTGAACTTTCGTGGATACTAATTGCCTTTTACGTTATTGTAAACAAACACTGGAAACCAGTTCCACAAGTTCCGCGATAAACTTCACATTCAATCAAATGCGGGGTGGAGCTTCAACATGGCCACAGACTACTCACTTGCCTCAGCAGTAGTATACGCCGTTACATTGGTATTAAAGCCAGTAAAGCTTGAACGCCAAGTATTGCCGATAATAATCCGAAGTCGCTGCTCAGACTTACAGTTTCTCGACGCTTGTCTTATCACGTTCACTTCACTCTTGTTTAAACCGTTCTGTTCCTGTCCTGGCGTACAAACCAAAGTAGGAGCAGTGGACTTTAGTTTCGCTCCTGTTTGAAGTCCTTAACAGTGTGTGTTCCCAGCCCTGCCAAAAACTGAACTTGAGACGTCTGACATCTTAGGCAAGCGACTCACCAGTCCCCCTAATAAGAATGCTCAAGAACACCAGATTTCCGTCAGTTTCTTCTACCTTCAATTGAATATCATCAAAAATGGACGGAACCTACAGAAATGCAACCCATCTAGACCAAATTCTCCGCCATCATCAAAATTATCACAATTTGAACGAAAAAGGCTGTTTCCGAGCCCTTTTTAAACATGGTTAGGCGCACTGTAACACTACGGAGTCAAAACTTAGGGCCAATCTCTTTACAAAACCTTTCGGAAAAATGGATTCACCAGAAACTTCATCCCATAGACCCTAAGAAAGCCCGATTCGGCAAACTCAATAGTATCAGGAGAATGCAAACAGATCACGTTTCCACACACCGTGAACACTTCTGAGGTGCCTTCATGATTGTCGCGACAGTATTACACGGCCGTTGCCCAAAAAGAGGCCAACATTCTACGAAGAGAAGACAAACAAAAAATCTAAGAGATGAATCCATAAACCCAGACTAGCATCGACCTGACAAAGCGAAGAAGGATAAAAAACGGATCTACGAAGAGAGGCGTACAATCAGTCGTTCAAGCGCAACCAAATCGGTCAACACAAGGAAACAAAAAATCAAACGGAGAGGTGCAAATGGTCAAGAAAGCTCAAGAAGCGAAGACCACGATAAAAACTAAAGGCCGATAAATAAGACCGCCGAAAACGAACTACCAAAACTGAAATCGCCGTTACAACCAAACTAATTCAGGGAAAGAAGGCCGGAACACAAACCGAAATGGACCAGTTGAAAAGCGAATGCAACGACCCCAAAAACGCCATCCGACAAATGACTGGAATATGAGACATACAGACCACGTCGTAGTGCAAGCCACAAACAGCTCAGTTGGACTACAAAAAGGCATGTCACAAATGATCAGTCACATGAGACGACACAACTTACTGTCCGAAAACCATATAGGCGTAGGCAGAAAGAGGCAGTACTTATCACCGACGATCTCTCATTGAAATGGGACGCAAGCCCGACGAACAGATCAACGACCATGGGATCAGCCACCAGTAGACGCATCGATATATTCCGACACAGTGATGACTTATCACAGGCTTCACTGGTGTTGTGATTGAAAGTCCCGCACTTTAATGTGGAGTGGCATTTTTCTAACCCCCACCAACAGCCAACACATTCTTCGATCATATATATATGCCGTTGAAATAACCTGGTTTTATCAGGCTTCCTTCATATTGCCTTCAAGCGGTATGGAAAATGCTGTAGCGCATTACGAAAGCGAGATAAATCATGTAGTTCTCCTGCTTTTTGACCCATGAGAAAGTGACTGTCAGCCCACGAAAAACGTTTTGTCTTCTCTCAACTGAGTACTTTGAAATACTTTGGAAAGTGCTTTGCAGAAACCAGTCTGGATGAGAACGCTTATCCACCTTAAAGCAAAACAAATCCTATTCACTACTCCACCTAATCGTCAAATAATTTGGTCATTCCGCTGGCCCGATTGCGCGTGTAATTTTCAGCCCATTACAGGGATTCGAATGACTGCCGTTGAAGAATGCATTTCATTGGTAAAAATCGACTAATACTGTCATTCATGTTGGTCCATTCCACTGGACATAATCAAAGTAGCGGACGAAGCTGTTTACATTACTAGCCGTCCTAAAATAACAGTTTTGAGCTAGAAACGTCTCATATTATCTCACCAGTGCAGTGACTTACACAGTCATCAGCGAACCTGGAGATACCTGTATTAGTTTGTTCCTAATGCCCATCATGTTAGACGACCGAAAGATGCTGCATTCCTTAAGCTGGCTCGTTTGGTATGAAAGTGATGAATTCACCAATGATATCCATCGATTCTATGTATTCTTTTGCTTGACAGAATGCTTTAGTGAGCTTTTGTCAATAGCTGCAGAGAACTCCGACGTATTCAGCTGGAAACCATCTATGGATTTTGCAGACTATATTATTTCTCTACTGTACAGGCACTCATAGAACCACTGTTGTCGACTGTGGAGTAGAATCCGTAAACCGTGGGGAAGTACGCCGCGGACCAACCCTCGTAAGTGTCACTTTTCAGGTTCTGTTGTAACGTGGGTGGCCGTCTTTTGGTTACGCCTGCACTGTGCCCGCCAGACCACGCGATAAGGAGAAGACAGAGAACTCGGAACACGGCTGGATTGTCAGGACAAAACATGCAGAGCCTCTGCGCAAATATATAGTGTGACCAAGTGGCCAAATATGGTCGTTCACTTGTTCGTTCTGCACAGCCAGTGGCGGTGTTCCGGTCGTGAACAATTTCAGCCCCATTCCACTGGTCTTGTGTTGCTAAGTCGGGTTTGGTGAGCTCCGCCAACGCACCTGCTCTCCGATGGTGACCTTGGGGATACGTCACTCTCCGCACAAGTACTTTTTCCATGTCTGGGCGCGTCCTGACAGGTTCCAAAACCCCGAGCTCAGTAAGTTACAGTTTTTACTTTTGACTGTGTAACAGCTTGGATCATTTAGCCGATAATCGCTCGTTAGTCGCTTTTTAGACGAATCCAATGCATGGAATGAAACAATGAAAATGAGTTCAGCGTCATCCATTAGTCTGATTTTAACTTAGCTCGGTTCACAACTAACAATGTGTTCTGTGGGCATTTGAACGTTTGAATTTTTACTGTCGGTCCAAGAGTAATCGTTCTATGCTGACTTACCTAACTTTTTAGACCGAAACTCAGAACTTTTCCAAGTTGTTTGTGTGGAAGCAAAATGGTTTCTAGAAAAAACTGACTTTACTCATCAGTTTATGTGCCAGCTGCCAGAGTTGAAGTGCACAGTCAAAACAAATGACTATTCAAAAAAAACTAACCTGGTTACAAAAGTCTTCACTGTATGGTGCAATCAGTAGAAAGTCTAGAGAATAAGAGAACTTTTGAGTATGAGGAGGAACATTTGATTAGATCGTGCGGAACGGAAATTAGTTGTACACTTATTCATGGAAGGCGTGCCGTTTTCCATTAAGTACAAATCTGAAAGTTCATTGTGAAAATCAAGCTGCTCGAATTCGATGGAAGTAATAAAGTTACAAAAGTAAAAATCCCTGTAGTGTACTTTTTCTCACGAAGAGCTTGGTCTGATAAACTGTCAATCTAACCCGTTTTTGTTGAACCATTGTTTTCTAACATATTAGAGGGCCTTAGTCACGTCTCGCGATTCGCGATGTTATTGTTTTCTAAGCGTTTCTACTTGTCTGTCGAGTGCGGTATTCACAAGTGTCATCTGAGTGATGCAGGTGCCGTGTTAAGGGCTTCAAGCTGTGCCTCATCCTGCTTCCGGGGATGATTACCTTACGGACACAGTTTCAATGCTTTTGGTCTAACCCCCAAACAACTGGAATCACTGCGACATCTGTACGCTTCTATCTGTCAGTGGTTTTTCGGAGCGCAATCAGAGATAACAACCGCAACATATGCCTTCAGTAAACCCACAGCCTGAAACGAGGGCTGTCAGCCATATTTTACCAGCTTTTTGTACATCCAGAAGTAGAAGAACGATCAGCCAACTTAACAAACCCCAATATGTCAAGTATTGTCTACCATTCTTAGGTTGACACCATCGGCTACTAAGACAGTCATGCTTCACGGCCTACAGGCGAATTATTCCACTATTCTTTGGGAGATAACAACTGTGGTTCAGTGTTGACTGCGCGTTCTTTGACCTCTGCCATTGGCCTATCAGGCA